CGGGCTCACAGCTGCCCAGCGCTGGGGCGGTGGTGGTAGCCTCTCCCACCTCTATCTATGGCAGGCGGACATGCCCCGAGGGGTCCTGGGCTGTGAGAGGGCACAAGCCAGGCTGAGGGACCCCTCCCACCAGTGCACGAATGTCGTGCACCAGGCCTCTAGTCAGGTAATAAAACAGAAAAACCTTGTAACTGAGAACACGTCCCTTGCTAGGATTTAAAATTCCTCTGGGGAATCGAGTGCCTCTGAGGCCTGTACTTCCTGTGGGCAATGCTCTCTGCAGGTGCTGTGTTCTGAAGTCATCACTTCCTTCTGCCCTTGCTGGGATCCACTGGGATCCGCTGGGATCCACTGGGATCCGCTGGGATCCGGGCGTGGAAAGGGGCCCACCTGGGAACTCCTGTTCTGGGCACTCTTACTCAGGCCCTCCTTCCCCTTGGCCATGAAATGAGGCCCCAGAAATAGCTGCCTGTCCATGCATATATAGGGTGGCCCAAAATTCACGCAAGATTTGAATTTTGCGTGAGCATTAACAACAATATATATATACTAGAAAATTATATATACTAGTATATAGCTGCCACCCCAGGCCGGTTAACATCTATGCCAGTGGTTCTCAACCTTGGCTGCACATTAGAATCACCCAGGAATCTTTTGAAAATCCTGATTTCTGGGCCTCCTCCTCCGGAAATTCTGTTTCTCTGTTACTCATGTTGTGGCCCCGCCCCATCACAAAGAAACAGAATTTCCGGAGGATGAGGCCCAGAAATCAGGATTTTAAAAACATTCCCAGGTGACTCTAATTAATGTGCAGCCAAGGGTGAGAACCACTGATCTACACGTTGCTTCTTCTCGATGTTTTTCTCACCACTTCTGACATCTGGATGCTCTTGAAAGAAACCCCCATCACCCAGGGTGTAGCCCTATCATTGAGAGCCGTGGATGAATCCTTGTGTTATAGGGAGTAACCACCACCCACCTTTCGTGTCTCAGTGGGTGCCGCGGGGTCCCCCGGGCGCTCACATGCGGCCGTCGGGTTCCGTGTTGATGTGGCAAGAGGAATGCGTGCGTTTGTGCCGCCTATTTCAGATGGACGCGAGAGATGTTCTTGGTGGGATGGGTGGGGCCTTGTGTGAGGTACATGTTCTTCATGTGGACGATTAAAAAAAAAAGAAGGAAACCCTATAGCATCCCTGGAATGTGTTTGCCAAGCGAATACTTTGGAAAACAGCCCGAGGGACAAGATCTAAGGCTGCGCTTTGGAGGCCGAGCTGGGTGAAGCTTTATTTAATGCGTCAGCTCAGCGCCCGGACGGACGGCGGGCCTCGCCTCTGGTTCACCTCCAGCCACAGGAGAGGGAATGAAACGTAACAACCGCACAGGCCTCACGCGGTTCAAGTTGCATTTTCGGGTTGTAAATGACTGTATGTTTGCAGTGTGTGTGTGTGGGGGGGGAGGGGGTTGCAATAAAAAAGATATGTTTATTGATTTCAGAGAGGAAAGGAGAGGGAGGGAGGAAGAGATGGAAACATCAGTGATGAGAGAGAATCATGGATCGGCTGCCTCCTGCACGCCCCGCACTGGGGATCAAGCCCCCAACCCGGGCATGTGTGCCCTGACCCCTGTGACCTCCTGGTTCCTAGGTCACGCTCACCCACTGAGCCACCCCGGCCGGGCTCAGCTATATTTTCTATGATCACTCAAGAGAATGCGGCCGCCTTCCTGGGCGCACAGTTCAGTGAAAGGCCCACACTGAGTGTGGAAGACCCTGTCCAGGATGCTCACGCCCCAGCACGGACCTACACAGCCTCTATCTCCCACGAGGACTCGGATCCCTGGGACGGTGATGTCGAACCCTAAGACCCTTTTGTGTCTGAAAACGGAAACGGCCCAGGTTTGGGGGGGTCCCCTTTAGCGGGAACGGGATCTGCGAGCCGCCTGGCCCTAGAAAAGACCAAACTACCAAGAGTCAAGAGGAACCCCCAAGGACGGGACCCAGTGCCCACTTTCATCTGGGTCCATTATAACGTGTTTTTTAAAAATTTCTAAATGTTTTCTTGGTAAAGTGTGCAATTGTGAAGGCTTCTAGAATTACTGATGATAAATGCCAGCGTCTAACCCTGGCTGGATGGGACCCCGGGTTGGTCTACACTCAGGAAATAAGACACGAAAGGTACATGAAGACGTTAGATGCCCCAGCTGGTCTGGCTCAGTGGGTGGTGTGCCCACTTTCATCTGGGTCCATTTTAACGTGTTTTTAAAAATTGGAAATAAGACACAAAAGGTACAATAAGACCTTAGATGCCCCAGCTGGTCTGGCTCAGTGGGTGGCGCGTCGGCCTGCAGACTGAAGCGTCCTGGGTTTGACTCCTGGATTCCTGGTCAAGGGCACATGCCCGGGGTTGTGGCCTTGATCCGCAGTGCGGGGCGTGCAGGAGGCAGCCCATCAGTGATTCTCTCCCATCATCGATGTTTCTCTCTCTCCCTCGCCCTTCCTCTCTGGAATCAATAAAAATATGTATTTTTTTAAGAAGACACGAGATGCACAGAACCGCAGGAGTGCGCCACGGCCTGCGGGGGCAGCACGCTCCTGACGGCCCTGCCCCAGAGGCAGGGAGGCAGGCAGCCAAGTGGGCAGAGTGTCAGTTCATCTGCCAGAAATGGGAGCCCTGGGCTGGCAGCCGCTCAGCACCCTCGGGGAGCCGCCCAGACGCATCCGAGGGGCCTCCTGCGTGACAAAGGCCGCCAACGGGTCCGTGACAAAGGCCGCCAACCCACGGTGGCCGCCCAGCACTCAGCGGGGACGAGGCGTTTCCCAGATGAGAGCGTGCCCCGGCCCGCGGGTGTTCTCCTCGGCACCGAGTTAATTAGTGGGAGAGGCGCCACAGCCAAGCCCCGGAGCACAGGAAGTCCTTCCAGAACTTTCCAAGGGGAGGCGGAGCCGCAGAGCCTACTGCCTTTCCCTGGGCAGGTGAGGGGCAGGCTGGCATCCATGAGCTGCAGGGAGAGCGGGAGTGGCCAGCTGAGAGGTCCTTAGCCAGCGGAGAGTTAGCCAGCTGAGAGGTAGTTAGCTGAAGTTAGTTAGCTGAGAGTTAGCTAACTGAGAGTTAGTTAGCTGAGAGTTAGGCAGCTGAGAGTTAGGCAGCTGAGAGTTAGCTAGCTGAGAGTTAGTTATCTGAGAGTTAGGCAGCTGAGAGTTAGCTGAGAGGTAGCTAGCTGAGAGTTAGTTAGCTGAGAGTTAGCTAGCTGAGAGTTAGCCAGCTGAGAGTTAGCCAGCTGAGAGTTAGCCAGCTGAGAGTTAGCCAGCTGAGAGTTAGCCAGCTGAGAGTTAGCCAGCTGAGAGTTAGCCAGCTGAGAGTTAGCCAGCTGAGAGTTAGCCAGCTGAGAGTTAGCCAGCTGAGAGTTAGCCAGCTGAGAGTTAGCCAGCTGAGAGTTAGCCAGCTGAGAGTTAGCCAGCTGAGAGTTAGCCAGCTGAGAGTTAGCCAGCTGAGAGTTAGCCAGCTGAGAGTTAGCCAGCTGAGAGTTAGCCAGCTGAGAGTTAGCCAGCTGAGAGTTAGCCAGCTGAGAGTTAGCCAGCTGAGAGTTAGCCAGCTGAGAGTTAGCCAGCTGAGAGTTAGCCAGCTGAGAGTTAGCCAGCTGAGAGTTAGCCAGCTGAGAGTTAGCCAGCTGATAGTTAGCTGAGAGTTAGCTAACTGAGAGTAGTTAGCTGAGAGTTAGCCAACTGAGTGGAAGCCCGTTCCCCACCAACAGTCCATCCTGTTCTTAGCTCTGTCCCAGATGCAGGGACCACAGCTAGACAGGACCAGGGATCCAGCCTGCAGCTGAGGTACCTGCCCTTGACCGGAATCGACCCCGGGACCCTCCAGCCTACAGGCGGATGCTCTATCCACTGAACCACACTAGCGTGGGACCCCAATTCTACATTGTTAGAATCCTACTCAAGCCTTCTTAAAACCTTAAAAGTGGAAGCCCTTCCAGTATTTACTGCTCTCATCAGGCATGTGGTCCCCAA